CAAATGGATAATGCATGCGATAGGAATGCAACCCAATCGTCTGATATAAATAAAAAGCGTCGTCGATAAGAATTAAAAATTTCACCTTGCGCAAAAGAATAAATGGATTTTTTTTTTTTAACGTCTCGTCTGAGATGTTTAATTATATGTATATAATAAATTTATGTTAATGAAAAAAAAATTTACACTGTTCGTCTTATAATTCGCGATATAATTATTTTTTCTCTTTTTTTTTAACGGATACATATTATTTTGTTTTGATATACGAAAGGGCTACAAGTTTTATCGATTTTTTAAATTTCTGCCTCGATATTCCCTCTTACCTCTTCAATTATTATCTACTCAACCTTGAAACTAGCAATTCAACTACATTTTGCATTTTTCAAGAATAATTGCACAGTGCAGCGAGAAATCCTACCATGTCATCAAGTGCACGTGAACAAATGCACGTGCGCCCGATGACGCTTTCAAATAATGATTGCACGGTTCTTAGAAGAGATTTCTGGTAAACTTTATGTCAACAACATTTTTATGTATGTGTGTATATGTGTATGAGATTACCAAATCTTTTATACATCGCATTGTATTACGCAGCTTCTATTGTAATATCAAGACCAACAACGATATAATTTTATAGTTAGTTAATATTGCGAAAATCCGCATTGAATCTTTAGGTTGAATAATGTAGAACTGGCTTTACAATTTCCTCGTCCTGCGTCCTGGCAAATAGTCTTAGCGGGGATGCCGGCGTCAAAGAGGGGTGGAGAGGGGTCTCGCGGCGAGAAGAGAGAAAGAAGGAAGAAAGACGACACCTGCGCGTGTGCGTGCGAGAGAAAGATAGAAAGGGGGGATGAAGGTGAAGAGGGGATGGAGTTATCGAGGAAGAGAGATGCGAAGGGTGAGACATACAGGGGAGAGTGGAGAGAAGCTGGGGTGGAGGGGTGCAAGGAATCTCCATCGTGGCAAACGGGTCGATCGAGTGCGTGTACAAACATTTTCCGCGTGCGTTTTCTTCGCGTATGCGTGAAAAATTCGGCCAGCGAGGAGGGAGATGAGACGGCGATAAAAAGCAGCGTGCGGGGAGAGAGGCAGAGAATTTCCCATAAACATAAGCCATGCTGAAAATTTGACAGAAAGGGGAAAAAAAAAGAAGAGAACGTTTCACTTCTCTTTTTTTCTTTCTCTCTCGAATCCTCTCTTCCTCTTTTGCACATAGAGAATTTTTTAAAGTGCGAAAATAAAGTCGGAAAAGGGGGACAGGTGCTGAATAATAAAACATGTGTCACTCTGCTTTTAAAATTGTGCTAAACTCATAAATATGGAATATTCCTTCAGACCTGAGATTACTTCGAAAACGCAAATATTTCAGTATGTAACGATAATTATTTATCTTCATTCACCCGCGTACATAATATTTTTATATATTTTAGAAACGCGCTGCGCGCTTATCGATTAATATTAAAGCTTGAGAATATCTTTTATGATTCCCGTGCCCCGGCTTGTATTGTAACGCGTAGTAGAGAATTCGAGAGAAACCGTCGAGGCGCGCGCGCGCGCGCGGCCGCCGCACGTGCGTGCCTGCGTGTGTACGGGGAGGCTGTGACTCATCCTGCGGGAGAGGGAGAAGGAGAGCGAGTCCTGTTCCCGCGGCAGGAAACAACGAGTGGGGGTGGGGATCGATATATCGACTCGAGAAACGCTCCCGCCGTTAGCGGGAACTGCGTAGCTTCAAGGTCCCTCCCCCGTACCCCTCCACCTCACCCCTTTCTACGTTTTCCTTCCTCTTCCCTCTCGCTTTTACCCTTGATAGAGTCGATTTTTCGGGCGGACTCGGAAGCGATTCCGTTTCGTTCGTTTAAATTCGCGAGTGAAAAACGCCTTTACAACACTCGATAAATCTGTTTTGCCTTTGTTTTTCCTTTCTATGTTTCGCGAAATATTGAATAGTACTATGAATATTGCACAAAATAATCTATTAAACTCGAAAGAATCGATTTCGAAAGATATAAATTGATAGAGATTCAATGAATTACACTAGAGATTAATCAAAGATTGCATCGTCTATTGTTGTTAAGGTCGGTTATACATTACATTGAAAGCGTTAATCGAACCCTTGTCGTTACGTGAAATAAATTCCGCTCTGCTTCTCACAGCATCCCAAAGTATCGCGTCAAAATTGATGCGCAGCATCATTGGATTTTTAATGACCGCGTCGGCGGCACGAGCCTGTCGCATTATTTTGCCATGACGAAGAGCGCGAACGGGTTGATTGGCCTGCCGTCAGATAACCCTGAGCAACCGAGAATTGTATCCGGTTATCGTGCGGTTATCGCTTTGGCGAATAACGCAAAAAGCATTTGTAATGCACTCGCGAAACTCGCTCCGTTCGTCGAGACAAGCCGAACAGTGCTGTATTTAACGTAACCGAAACCCTCGTTCCTACAAAACAGATCCTTTTTCTCTTTTCCCTCCCCATCTCTCTCTCTCTCTCTCTCTCTCTTTCTCTCCCTCTCCTCGCCCTTGCCCTCTCAGTATTCTATCCGCTTCTCGCTGGCTTTTGACGGGCTTCCGTTGTTTCGATTTATCGAGAAACCGGAACCGAAAAGCAGCCGTTTCAACGCAATTGTCGCTCGCACTCATTTCGTCCTTCGTGAAAGACAATTCGTAGCCGCGACATTTTTTCGATCGATCTCCGTTCGTACGGGAAAATATCCGGTTAAGTATTGTCCGCATACGATATAACGTTATCCGTAAAATTTAAAAATATCACATTGCGTTAAAAATGCGATATGCGATACAAGAATGTTTTGGATACGAACCTGTTTGTATTTTTATTCGCGAGTAAAAAAAAACTAGTAAGAATCGTGCAAAGATGTGCTACGGGTGGGTCGATGATCCATGTGTTTATGAGAAATCGGGTCAAAACAAGGAGGAAGGCGATAAAAATCAAACCAGCACAGTCGAGGGGGAAAGA